TCCAAAGTCTCTAAGCAGATATTTCCACTTCAGTAATATACTTTTCTGAATGATGTTTCCATTTCCAAAGGTGCTTGGTATCTCTTTTGTTCTTATTATCCATCTTTTGAGTTCCATAATCTGATAAAAATCTCCTGGTGATGAAACGAAGGTGGAATTTCCTTCAAACACCCAGCAAATTGTCTTCAATACCGACAGCTGTTTTTTCTTCACTAATAAAGTCCCTCCCTCCACTGACAGGCAGTGAAATGTGATGCTTAATGAAACGAATCATGTAAACTGGGATACTCAGTTTACAAACTCAGTTTGGTTGACAGTAGACTCACATAACCTAGCCTTTAACATTCTTTACTTCTGTAATCAATTTCTCCAAGTGCTGCTTCTGCCACAAGACAGCCAAACCCAATTACACTAGCTTCTCCAGTTTCTGATGTGTTTCTTCCTGTCTAATCCTCATGTTTTACCCAGTCACGGTCACAGATCGAAAAAAACTGTTCCCTTGAGAAGAAAATTGTATCTGCAAGACAAGTATCATGCCAAATCACCAAGTCTGATGCTCAGCCAGCCCTCTGAGAGCTTAGGAACGCATTCTGCTTTGTTTCTGTGAAACAGGCTTCATGAACCTTCATCTCACCCTTCGCTCTCCCTCCCCATCATCACCCTCTGAAGACCCTTCATTGCGATTCTACTTGCCTCCAGCTTTGGCACAACTCCTCAAATGCAACAAGGTACTACTTGCACTCAGACTGTTCTGCTAACCCCAATGAACCTTCCTCAAGCATAAACATTCAGGATCCTTTGGCCACACTTGGTTTCGACATGGGGAAAAGAACAAGGGAAGAGGAAGAAGAAATGCATTTTCTTCCAGTTCTGTTCCCTGGCCTGAAAAAGAAACAGAACATGAACTTCCTGAGCATTCTTAACTAAGTCCCAAGATCTTTCTGGCGAAAGTTTTTATGGCCATTTGAGTTCCCATGGAAGCTACTCCACTGGTTCACTTTTAAGGCAAGCAGCTGTAAGTTTCCCATGTTTCCCATCCTCATTGCCTTACACTTCTGACCCAACTGATAAAAGCTACAATTCATATTGCTCCTGAACAAGATGCTACTTAGAAGACTATCCTACCACTGAAGTGAAAGTTTGCATCTTTCTCCTCTCTCCTTTCCTCCTGATGGAAAAAGTCTGTAATCTTATTAACTGCAACAGCTGTAAATAGTTGCTGTTCCAAAGCAGTCCAATGTGGCCTGGGATGGCCCTGCCTCCTTTTAACTTTGAGCTCCAAGAACAATCATTCTCACCCAAAGTCGATAAAGCCTTCTGTTCTTTAGCTCAATACATTCAAACTAACTAGTCCCTCTAAAAGAAATCTTTCTGATACAGGGTTTCACAAATCTCCTTTTCGAGCTGCAGTCTCCCACTCCCCCTCCCCAACTGCCAATGGTCTCTTCACCCATGTTTTGAGATTTCCACATTCTTCTTTTCCTGGACTGTGTCCCAAGTTATTCATCTTCATAGCTCCCCTGGACTCAGCCTGGAACCTCCTTTTAAGTCACTTGCTCAGTCATCTAATCATATCCTTAATCCTCCCTGGCAGATCTAACTTCAACCAGCTACCTGAGCCGAGAGAAAGAAGGAAGCCCTGCCCTACCTATTACATGTAACCAGTCCCATGTCCTTACAGAAATAATGGCATGGAATTCCTAGATCATCTTTCCTGATAGTAACTGTTCCACCGACCACCTTTTTTTCTCCTAATGACCGTTAAGACCATTTTTTGTCCTTTCTACCTCTCCTTGAAGTTTATGGTTTCCTAAATGATCTCCTTCAGCCTTTTCAGGTGAATATATGGTTACAATGGATTTAAGGCTTTCATGAAAGGGGTCTGAAAAGATAGTCAAGGAAGGAGAGAAAAAAAGTAGTTTTTTCAACAAATTAACAAGCAAAAACATTAAGCTAAGGCTGAGAATGTATTTGATAATATATATGAGGAAAAAGTCACAGAATACTGTTATTATTCCTAAAGCCAAGATTTAAAAAACCAAAACCACAAACAAACCAGCTTTAGATAGCGCACTTAATGCTAAAAAAATTGTGACACCATTTAAAAAAAATCCAGTTAATGAGCCAGTTAGGCTCATCATATACTCAGTCTTTTGGGGTTCTTTTTGGTCTTAGAAAAGGTTGGTTGCTTTTTAAATAGCACAAAGCAGGGGAAGAAAAAGACCAAATCTTTACAGCACAAAAATAAAGCAGCACGAGACTCAGTGGGATGTTCTGGCACAGTTCTACACAAGTCTTATCACAGGAGTCCGCATCAGCATTAGAAAACACCTGCTAGCAGGACAATCCTGCTGAATACTGAGAACAGGGCTAAAGACAGACTTGGGTGTCCGGTAAAAAATAGAAGTGAGAACTGAAGAGAATAAGTAAATTTGGTTTTATATGAATGAGAAGTTTTTGTGTAGGAGTAGTAGTGGGAATAAAATTTCCTCACATTTTATTGTGTAATTTTGCTGTGTAGTAGTGTTTCAGTATGATTTATTGTGTAATGCTATTGCATGGCATCATTTGTTGAGCAACTTTGCTGCGTGGTATAGTTTTTTATTTAATGATATTGAACGTTAGGCAATGGTCTTGCATGCCATAATTTGTGTTTTCTGTTGAGCAATGTCACCGCCATAGTTCTTGACACAAAGGTGAATTGCATGAATTCACATAACAGTGCTGAATTCATTATTTTAACATATATTCACTCAGAGATGGCAAATGGAGACAATTTTTTTTTTTCTGAATGAAGACACATGCAGAAAAGCAGCAAATTGAACAGGTAACAGGTATTTAAGCAGAACTTAGGGCATTAAGATATGATTTCATTAAATAGCAACGCAGCATTGCCTCATAAATGACACTTTCTTATCTGGAGCTACCTTGTGACTACACTGTGTGATACTACATGGTTCGCGTATCCATACCTGACTGTAAAAACTACATGACGACCTTGCTTTACATACTACTGGGTATAAACAACAACAGTAACATGCTTTCGATGCGACTGAGGCTCCATCCAAAACTATTCTTGCAAGGACACGCTGAAATCCACAACCTGAACAAGAAACTCTCCACCTCTTACACAAAGTGCAACTGATTACTTGATTACAGTGGAATCCTGTGTTAACAGCAACATTACCGAACTTAGAGCAAAAATTTAAAATTTTGCATTAGTAAATTAGTAAAAGACTTAACCATATTTTAGATGCCATCGCAATGTCATCCTACTACTGCTTAACATTCTCCAAAGAAGCAGGAGGAAGAGATAAAAGTTTGCTCTGTATGTCGTATTAATGTAAGTTACTTATCTTTACACTCCTTACATAAACTTGCCTTTTCAACCCTCTTTTGTTTTTTCCTCCAATCGTTTTTGCTTACAACAAACACGGTCAATATGCAGACTTAAATAACATGTTTGAAGTTCTGGAAATATATCAGAACTTGAGGTCTTTTTCAAAACAAATCAAGTCATCCATAAGGACATCAACTTTGTACCCACATCTATTTTTATATCCATCTGAAAATGCTATTGATTGGCTAGAATAGCATCTCTTTCATGCATTACCTGGCAGTCTACGAACAATTGTATGTTGCAAGAGGCAGAGAAATAGAGCAAACACTGATAGATTACAATGCAGTGCTGCTGCAAGCATTTTTATTTGATCTCATATTCTGGCAGGTTTTAAATACAGAAGAAAAAAAAATGCATGCAGGCTTAATTTTTAAAATATGGCAAAAACCAGAAGACAGGCTGGGAAGGCAAATTATGAAAAAAAAAGTGAGCTCCCTCCATCTATATCATAAGATTAATTTATTATCTGACAGATGGCAGATAGGAGGGGGGCGGGAAAGAAAAGACTGCTGATGCAGTGAGCTTCCTGTCTGTAATGAAGGCCCCACATTCTCACTTATCACACCACCACAAAATACGTCCATAGTTGCATTCAGTCCAGAGTTTTGCTCCACGTATTTCTAGGTTTAGATCAAAATAGCCTAGACCTCATCACTGTGTGGACAACTGAAAAACGAAGAAAACATCCAGAGAAGTGATTCTTCTGTCAACTGCCCAAGGCTACTGACAAGAGCAACTACGAAAGCTGCCACTCTACCCGACTCATTTCATTTGACCAGCGAGAAAGAGCCATTCATGCTGACCAATACTTCCAGAGCTATCGGTCGCTGTCGCAAGTTACCATCGTCTTTGCCGTCCCAGCACCGGAGCTGCTTTTTTCCACATTTCTCCGTATTCCGAGACATTTTCTCTTCCTTCAGCATCTTCCACGTTGCAGTCATGGGGCGCCGATACAAAAATGGAGCGCACTGGAAACGGCAAACAGCAGGACCGACCCAAACGCGCTCAACGCAAACCGAAAAGCTTCCGCACTGCCGGTCGCAACCATTTCCTCAGTCAGTTTGCTGAACTCCAACGCGACGCTGTCACAGGACTCCCACCTGCCGCAGAAGCCGAAGGCCGCCCGAGCTCCGCTCCGCCACGAACTACCGGAGGCCCTGGCTGACCTCGGACGCCAGGTTCCCGTACGACCACCCCACGGCACGCTGCCGTCGGAGGGAACCAGAGGCCTCTGCGAGGCGGAGTTCGCTCCCGCCGGCCCGCGGGCGCCCGTGGGGGACACCCTCACCTTGCCACGCAGAGATGCCCCGCGCACCCCGGGGCCGTTACACGGGATTGAGACAGATAAAGAAGCGGAGCACCCGAGCACACCCCGAAGGGCGAGGAGGAGGAGGAGGAGGAGGAGGA